AGAGAGAGAGAGAGAGAGAGAGAGAGAGAGAGAGAGAGAGAGAGAGAGAGAGAGAGAGAGAGAGAGAGAGAAGAAGATGTGAAGCACTTGTCCCGGTTTGGCTTCCCTTTGTTTGAGTTGCCGTCCCCATTTTCATTCTAATGCATGGCATGATCAACGTTCTCTTTTCTGGGGGGGGGGGGGGTTCCCGGTTCAATTTATGCGCTGGGGAGCTGGTCAATGCTTTTCCTCCTCCCCACATTTTTCTCCGGGGGGAGCACGAAAGAAAGAAAAAAGATCGCCTTGGAGATTGGGCCCTGATAATAATGGATTTTTTCTGTTTAAAAAACAAAACAAAAAAAAAAAGGTCCAACAACACCTGTGATGCCCCCGCCGCTTGACCTACCTTGCTTGCTATCTTCGGCTGATCTATACTCTTGCCCGCCTGCATTTTGACAAATTCCAGATCTGCCCCTCCTGCCTTCACGTAATCTTCCTCGTCGGCCAACATAGCCGATTGCTCGGCTCTATCGGCGATCGCTGACGTGGCAGTCCCCGCGGAGCTCCCGCCGGCGCGGTGGTCGCTTACCACAACCGGCCGGCGGGAACCGGCGGGCTGCCGACGTCGGGCATTCGCCAGCGGCGGGCGAGCTAGTGGTAGTGGATCCGCTGCCGAGGTCGTTCGCGCATCGTTGCCGCGCGATGCCGCCGGCGGCGGAAGCGGAAGCGGAAGCGGCAGCGAGCTCCGCCGGGTGCGCGGACGCCTGCGGATGCCGCCGGACTGCTGATGCTGATGAGGAAGCCTGTGTCTGGTCGGACAGCACAAGGCATGCCAGGTTGCGATCCCGACAGCATTTCGACCAGGTCTGCAGGCGTGTTCGACGTCATTCACGCTGCGCTCTCCGCCCACTGCGCGCCATGATGCGCGACATTCCCCGCCAAGGCCGCACATTGTGCGAGATCCGGCTCGAATCAGGCTCAATCCTCGTCGTTCGGGGCCACCACTGACCACCTCGTCAGAGGCCGTGGAGCAAGAGGAGGAGGAGGAGGAGGAGGAGGAGGAGGAGCTCCTGTTGTTCCTGAAATGCCGCTTCGATACGTACCGCATTCGTCCCCCTGTGTCGAGGACAATCGACGTGGCACCACGTGGGCTTGTTGCCGTATCCGTCAAGTGATTGGTCTGCGGCATCATCCTCGTGGTACCAGAACAAGACGCCAACGCGCCCATCGCTTCGCATGCCATCTTCGAGCCTGCAGTCTGTCCTACACACGCTGTACACTGCTCTGTCGCCGCCACGTACGCAAAGAGAGAGAGACACACACACACACACACGCACACAAAGAGAGAGAGNAGAGAGAGAGAGAGAGAGAGAGAGAGAGAGAGAGAGAGAGAGAGAGAGAGAGAGAGAGAGAGAGAGAGAGAGAGAGAGAGACAACACAGAGACAGAGACAGAGACAGTGACAGAGAGGTGGCAACCGAGAGAGGGAGGGGGAAGAGGCTGAAGGTCCAGAACAAAGCCAAGAGGATAAGAAGAGAAGGCGGTGGTGAAAATGAGAAGGACGAGGAGGAGATGGTGGTAGAGAGAGGAGGAGGAGGAGGAGGAGGAGGAAGTATTCAGGCGACGAAGTAGAGAACCTAGGAGCGACAATCAGAACACGTGGACGGATGGGGAGAGAGGGATGTGAAGACCAAGCCGAGAGTGCATGCAGAGCAGATGATCTGAGAGAAGGGTCCCACAGCACCAGTAGGACGAACGAATAAGTGTCCCTTCGTTTATCCACCTACTGCTCTTCCACTCTCCCTTCGCTTCTCCTCCCCCTCCTCCTCCTCTCCTCCTCCTCCTCCTCCTCCTTTCTTCTTCTTCTTCTTCTTCTTCTTCTTCTTCTTCTTCTGCTGCTGCTGCAGCTGCTGCTGCTGCAATTATCTGCTGCTCAGCCGAAGCTGCATAATCATTTCATCTTAGCAGAGGGAATGCGCCTGAAATCTATCCGGCCTTCCTCCTCTCTCACTGCACCACTCTCTTTCTTGTTCTTCCTCATCCACTTCCAGCCTCTCTCTCTCTCTCTCTCTCTCTCTCTCTCTCTCTCTCTCTCTCTCTCTCTCTCTCTCTCTCTCTCCAAAATCAAAAGCAGCGAGCCATCATTGCAGAAGCCTTCCGCTTGCAACACGGTCACAAACCGACCGGCGGGTCAGTCAGCCGCCGGACGGCCGCCCCGGCTATGGAGCTTGAACCGGACCGTCCACCTCAACGTCGCCAGATCAGGAAGGAGAAGAGAGGGAGGCTCCAATGCATCCCCCTTCCCACCCTCCAACGATCTTCGTCTTAGGGCCTAGTTGCACCACTCGTCATCCGCCAACATTTTTGGATGAATGTGATCATGGAACTCGTCATTGTGCGTTCAAAGAGAGGTTCGCTCATCTTCCAACCTCGGCCCCCAACCCCACCTCCCACTAAGCCACCCGCCTTCTCGTTGTCGTTTCTGTGGTCCCCTGTGGTCTGCCGCTGCCAAGCGTAACTGCCCTTCAATCTTTCCAAAAAAAAAGGAACGAGCAACTGCCCTTCCCTGGTCGCAGTCGGTACTTGTGCCTTTACGCGGTCGCCAATCCGGTGCCGCGAAACAAAGAGTCCCTATCCGAAATCCAACAAATGCGCCAGCACGGCACCAAAATGGCGTGTGCAAAAAAAAAAAGAAAAAAAAAAAGGAGGCGTGTGCAATGCGCGAGGAGAGAGCACCAAAGGGGAGAAGTGGAGAGAACAAGAAAGTCGTCACGACCGGACTACCAACGGGATCCCGTCATCCCATCGCGAAAGAAGGACTCCACGTATATAAGGGTCTGCTCGAACTCAACCAGTTCGCGGGTCTATGTGGCAGAATGATACACGCATGTAACTGTCAATACAGAGAGATTAGTTTTTTTTTGTTTTTTTTTTTTTTGAGAGAAACTCTGTCCATTATATAAATTGTTATCAGGTGGGCAACAGAGGGCCGGGAATCCCCCACAAACAACCCGGTGAAACAACACAGTTCTGGGCCCGTTACCCAGTTTAGGCTCCTGGGAACCGGGCCCAGTGTCCCCTGACTTCTGAACTCTCAAAATGAAAAAAGTAAGGTGAGGCTGATCCCCAAAAACACGCCCTGCATTCTGAGACATAAGTCCATCTGTACTTCTACCTAGAGAGGTTAGTTCAAAACCTGTGAAAGCGCAGCTTGTCTAGGGAACAGGGGGGTAGAAATGCAAAAGATCGGCCGCGTTCGGACCAGTTTAGGAGAGAGGCGGTGCTTCTTGAAAAGTAACGGTACCTGGAAGCACCTTGTCTAGGGAACAGGGGGGTAGAAAGGTAAGAGACCGGCCGTGTTCGGACCAGGTTTAGGAGAGTAGTGGTGTAACGGTGCCTGGTGCTTCCAGCCAGGTAACCGCAGAACTAAACCAGGTAGGCGGGGATGAGACTGAGGAGGGGGGGCGGGGATGAGAATGAGGAGGGGGTGGGGATGAGAGTGAGGGGGACAGGGTTGATTGGCACTGTGTTAGCGCTCATGACTGAGCCTGCTGCGGGACGCTGGAGTCCAGTGGCCTGTTCGTTAAAGTGCCTGCGCCGTGCAGACCTAGATTTTGCCTTCACCACGAGCTGCATCGCGGTAACGTGAAAATTTCACGGAATTCGAGTCTGGGACAGCCATAGCCGAGCTCGAGTAGTAGTTCAAGATTCATCTTTTTGACGATAGGGTTAATGAGAGGGGAGTGCTGTACCATAGTCGTGGGAGTTAAACCACCCAGTACTTGGCCCATAGATCGGGCGCGGCGCTACCCCGTTAACGCATCGCAGCATTTGGGCTTCGGGAAACGAAAACAAAAAAGCACGCTGGCGGTTCTGTTTAACTTGGCGCGCAGGGTGCTTGGAGGCTCGGCTTCGATAGCTCAGCCAAGTACTGTAGGGTAGCTTGGCGCATTGAAAACGTTGTCGAGGTACCGAGCTTGTTCAAGGATAGCCCTTTTCAAAATCTTGTTTTCTACTAGTTACCGCAGTGGTGAGAAGGTTTGTTTCCTTTGGGGAGGCCGTCAAAATCTCTTTCGCGGCTCCACTACAACCTGAAGTTTTGATGGAGGAACCGGCCCAGTCCATAGCAAGATTACATCCATTGGCTCCAGATGCCAATTTGGATGAAGACAGAGCCACAGAGCTCACAACACAAGGCTATGAGGAGGTGAATGTCGTACCATGTGAAAGTGTGGAGATTGTCCGTTGCAAAGCGGTCTTCAAGTTGAATCTAGAGTTCGACCAGATTAAAGTTCGCTGGTTGAAAGAAAGAATCGTGATCATGGTTTTCAAAGATGTTGCAAGAGAGTTACCACAGAAGGTTAAAGCGGACCTTAACCATGCGTATGAAAATAGTTGGGCTAGAGACGGGGGTTTTAAACACCAGGTTCAGTGAGGCACGATCCGGTTCAAAGGTCCTAATTTTTTTGCGTATGTCCCAAGAGGTCATGTGGTGGCTACCTGACTTATAGACCAGAGAGACGATGGCGTAATATTGTTTAGCATAACTTATGCTATGAGTTTTGGGTCATGGATGACAAAGTTAGAATGGAGGGAATTTCGGTGAGTAGAAAAATGAAGAACACATATTGGGTAATGGCACTCCACATCCCGTTAGACGCAATAGTTCACATAAAGGCGACTATCGGGAGGATTGTGGGTGCAATAACAAAAGACTATCCGCCGATCAAGGATAGGTTGAAGCCTAAACCAATGAACCTGAAATACGATGTTGATCCTCAATCCAGGGATAGAATAGACATAATTTTGGTTAGGAAAGATAATGGAGACAACAGAGAACTCAAGCTGGTGAGCTCATCGACTCCGTGGTGCAAAATATGCCTATAGTCTTCCCCCTAACAAAACGCACTTATGTACTATTCAACTTTTCCTGAAAAAGTCGATTTATCGAAATCGCCCCCTGAAATCCAAATAGTACGCACGTGTGTTCTATTCCAATAGTATGCACGTTTGTTCTATTCGAACAGACGGGTGTTTTATTCAAATATAACACATGCTTGCCTGGCTGCAGTATTGTGCTCGTTTCCAGGTGCACGCCCTGCAGTATTCTTCCCTCTCTTTCTCTCTCTCTCTCTCTCTCTCTCTCTCTCTCTCTCTCTCTCTCTCTCTCTCTCTCTCTCTCTCTCTCT